TGTCAGGTTCAGCCCAAAGAACTCCACGAGACCGTACATCTCTGGTTAGGTAGCTTTTATTAGCTTTCAACCACAAGACAGAATCTCGCCAGACTGAATCTAAACTTCCCAAGCCAGCAAGCAAACACCGCGAATTCCTTAGGATGGTGCCAGTCTCATCCTCTTAACCTTCCCACGCTCCTGCTGGGGGCTAAGGAAAGGCTTATCTCCCCGAGCGTGGCCTTCACCAAACCATTCCATCACACTTTCCTCCCATAGGCGCAATGGAGGTGAATGCAGGACCTATTTGTAAACTTGTGACGTTTTTAGAAAGCATTTCCACTTTCTTACACCCAAAGTTTGTAATATGAAATCAGATAAGTGGAAGGGTTAGTCCGATAATAATTCTGGGACAGATTTTATTAGCTGAGTTAACTCTTGTATTTTAGAACATGATACTATGTTCCTGCCATGTGTCTTCATGATCTTCTTGTCTTGATACACTTCAACTAATTGGGAGAACTTAAAGGAATATTTACTGATCACTGTTAAATGTGTCTGAGGAAACATGACATGTCTTCTGTAGAATTTAGTGGTTTGTGCGCAATGACAAAACTTGCATCATGATGTCACAGTGCAAAGTCTTCCCCTTATGTACATATTTGCAATGTCATGCAGAATTTCATTTGAGTCTCGCCTATACATTCTTGTCTCACAGTACCTGTGTCAGTGTATTTTTTTCCTGTCCATTACAGTCTATGATTGAGTTCAGTTGCTTTTTCATTTTGTAGGACAGAGTTCATTCAGAAAGGAAATATAACACTAAAGGGGACTGGACTGCTGAATTGCTTCCTGGAAATTTTTGCACAATCCTTTTTAAATCAAGGGATCAAAAAGGCAAGTGCTTTACTTTTTAAATTTAATTTTTAAAAAAGATGTCAGGTTCTTGACATCTAGTGTGCTTTCCTCTGTTATGTACATTTATGACCTTTTTCTAAAACACTGGTCAGTATTTTATTTTTAGGATATATTAGTTGCTTTATACTAAAAAATGTCAAAGCATGTAGATTAGTTCAGAAGAGATTCTCATATATGTATTTATTTAGACTAATATAATAGGTAAACAACTGCCTACATTTTATTTATTTGAAGTTTTCATTCAGGCAGAGTTGGGTGAGTGCTTGAAGCAGAGTTATTCATATAAGTGCCTCATTTTCAACTAAGCCAAGCTCTTTTTAATTCATAAATTATCCCTGAGATATTTAGCTAGCAGCAAATTTGACTGTAGGATGCTGTTGCTGATGATTTTTAAAAACTTATTCCAAGTTCATGTATGTCCTGTATAAGGGATATTATTAATTATTGTTGCTGGCATAAAGTTGTGTTGTCATGATATCTTCCCAGAATCTAATTATAAGATTGGGTATGTACAGGTGAAACTCGAAAAATTAGAATA